CTTAAAGTTCTTGTTTGCACGCAGAGAAATTCGTATACACTCCACCACGCTCAAGCGCTCTCGCTGGACTGTCCTCGCTGTCCCCACACAGAGAAGATCCACAGGCCATTTCTTCCCCCGCTCCCCCTCCCCCCTCTTTAGCGTCAGTTCGTCAAAACAACACCTGCGCCCCCCGTCTCTCTCTCTCTACCTACTCCTTCCCTCTCTCCCTCCCTTTCATCCCGAGCCGCCGCGAGCGTTCGCCGCGCGCCGCGTCGTCCCCTTGAGCGAAAGATGCCTTATCAGTATCCCCTCCTCTTTTATCTCTACCGCTTGTCCCGAGCCGCCACGCTAACTCAGGGTGTCTGCGTTGTTCCCTTACCGCTTATTAGACATCCTATCACTGAGTAAGACTGAGTCACTGAGCATTACCACATTTATACGCAAAAACAATCTTTGGTGGGTTTCAGCCTAGCAGGAAAGACTACAACATATTACATACTTCGCCTATCTATATTATCCTTGATCGTAGCCAAGGCCTCTGGCCAAGGCTATGTATCGTAGCAGACAACAGTCCCCGGTCCCATAAAAATTCAAATGTGATCCCAAATAATTGCAGGTTCTCATTTTATTATACCCATATAGCGATCACACAGTATTTTCTTAGTCTTATTGCATTCTTTGTGACGAAATTTATAAGAAAATATTGCAGGAAATAATTCCTGTTTCATTTACTAAAGCTCTTGATCATTTAGACGAAAAACGCATCCTAGCAAAACAACGAAGGGGGAGGGGTAGAGGGACGGAACCTTTATGATAACCAAAAAGGACGGAATCGTTTAATTCATTGAGTTCTTTTTTTCCTTCCGTCCCTCCGTCCTTTTTCTTTATAAGAATGGCCTCAGGTCACCGTAACGTCAAGTGACCTTACCTCAGAAAAAAAATCGAAAGCTCGCTGTAGCTACACCGACTGAGCGGACTTTAAAACTCTCAGTAATTGCTTAGGGTAATAGTGTGTATAAAATGGATACCTCAGATTTTGTATGTCTGTGACCTAAGGTCACGTCAATTTTGCGACTGCTCCATTAGGTATAAGTCAATGGGAGAAAATTGAAATGCGCCTCTTTTGGACGAATTTCGTTCTACACCCAATCTAACATCGGTCCATAGGTAAACATGACACACTGAATCGGAAAATCGCACCTGTGCCCCCTGTGTGTGCCCCTGAGGTCATTTTAGGACATAAAAGGTCTTAAGCATTTTTTTACTTTTGACAGAGACGTGCTAGAGCGGTGAAAACACCGTTGATCCGAGGTCAAATTTGAGATCAATCAGAGCGGTGCCCTCTGGGGGCTATACCGTTGATCTGAGGTCAAATTTGAGGACATGTCGGCGAAACAGCGTTAAGAGAGCTATCGAATGCGCTTTTCCGCGGCGCTGTAGCTCTATTGGTTCCCAAGTTAGCCGTCGGGTGTTCAATATCGTTGAAATCAACAAACTTTGACCTTTGATGAATCCTGGTGACCTGACCTTTGCCCTGACCTTAAAATGACCGAGTGTTTTCCTCCTTATTTTTGACGTTCTTTCGATTGCCGCTTACCGCGTGTCGCTACGTAGCCCAGGAGCCGAGTTAGACGGAGGGGCGTGAAACGCCCCCCAGCACTCGACGGAAAGTTCATGCCACCAACACGGCGCGGGTTAATTGTTATGCTATCTAGCTCCTGTTGTAAGCTGTGGAGTCGTGGACCCGAACTTGAATGAACTGGCCCTAACATTTTCATAGCAAACGTAAAAAATGTTTAATAGGTTGTGCAAAAAATAGCATCTCTTTTATGAAACATTTGCGAAACCTTCAACATCATCCCCAGACCCCATTAGTGCCGAGCTCCCAACGACGACCATAAAAGCGTCCCCATCCCGTCATAGGCGGCGGAACGGGAAGGGCACCCCGTGCCCCCTTTGATTTTTGCATTTCAACTATAGCCCTATGAGCGTTGCATGAAAATAATAGGACCCAAAGTCGGCAGTGCCCCCCCCCCCCACTTGAAGGTGTTCCGCCGCTACTGCATCCCGTCAACGTGGGTTTATCATAAGGATGCTAAGATTTAATTTCCAATCCGAAGCTGTAATGATGAAAAGCAAATTTACGTTTTACATGTGAAACAAGCTGACAAAACTAAATATTTCCTCTCTCGCTCCCTCTCACTGATTTACCCATTGCCCTCTATCTCATTTTACCCTCTCTGGTTTTCCTTTTCTGTCTCTCTTAGCTCTCTCTCTCTCTCTCTCTCTCTCTCTCTCTCTCTCTCTCTCTCTCTCTCTCTCTCTCTCTCTCTCTCTCTTTCTCTCTCTCTCTCTCTCTCTCTCTCTCTCTCTCTCTCTCGCTCTCTCTCGCCATCTCTCTCTTGCTCTCACTCTCGCTCTCTCTCTCTCGCTCGCTCTCTCTCTCTTGCTCTCTGTCTCTCGCTCTCCCTCTCTCCCTCTATCTCTCTCTCTTTCTCTCTCTCTCCCTCTCTCTCCCTCTCTCTCCTCTCTTTCTCTCTCTCTCCCTCTCCCTCTCCCTCTCCCTCTCCCTCTCTCTCTCTTTCCTCACAATATTCTCGACTGTCACAGCGCTGTAGGGCTTGTTTCCAGACAGGTCCAGGCGCTCTCCACTGCGCAGGCCCCAGCCCACACGGCCCAACCGCTCAAACACCCTCCGGCGGATGACCTCAGGGCCCTGTTTCACCGGTGATAGCAGCACGCTGCTTTTACACGTGTCAAATTTGGTTTCCATGGAAACATCAACAGGCCCATTGCTCCAACACTACCACAAGTGTGACGTCAGCTCGCGCAATTTGATAGTAGCGTGGTAGCAGCGTCCCGTGAAACACCGCCCTGACCTCGGCGACCTGACCCCAGCCGACCGATCGCGTCCCCCTCCACGCCTCCGCCCCGCTTCTCCCACTAGAGCTGCGTAGTAATTGTAGCGTGTGCAAAGGTCACGTGACATTATTTACTTCTGCGGCTTGTTCGGCTGACAAGAGATGGCACTAGTGGTCTGTGGATCAGAGGCGGGGCTAGGTTCTACGAGTTCTTGGGGCACACTTAAGGGCAGAAAAGAAGTTTTTTGGCTCTCCATCCCAAAATGCTTCGAATATACAAAAACAAGTTAGATATTCGAAAATCGGAGGACCAAACGGATCGTTTGACGTATCTTGCGCGTCTGAGAATTGATCGGTCTTCAAACTACTGAACAAAAACGAGGTGATTAGTAGCAAGTGCTGGTGACTGTACATGTTGTATCAGAGCCGGGTGGGGTATGTTGTAACATGTATGTACAGGTCTCGCGAGATTAAGCGGTAGGTTTTGCACTTTTACATTTCCGGTTATATCTCAGAAACTAATCGATCTACGATGAAGCCATTTTACACGATCATGGCCGGCTTGTTACCCAACAAGTCGATTGCATCTTCAACACTTAAAAGCTTAAGACGACGAAGATATAGCCTGAAGTACACTAAATTCTCTAGGTGCAAAACCTACCGCTAAAACCCGCGAGACCTGTACCTATATAAAGTGGGTTGTAGCAGGAACCCCAAAAGAGAGTTGTAGCAGCAACCCCCAACATCTCTGAAAATGATCATTAAGCCTATTGGTGTCGCATGGAAAAGAATTGACTCAAAAGCCCAAGCGCACTGCGCAACCCTAATATTTTCTAAAAAAGAACAGTTATGTACACTTCTGGTGAACACAACACTAAACAGTGTCCCAAACTTCAGATTTGTCTTGGGTGTCTGAGTGGAAAATTCTAGCCACCCGAAATGTGAGAGTGGAAAATTATCCATTCTTATTCTTGAGTGTCATCTTCAGCCCAAATGAGAAATTTTTGGAACGCTGACTGTGAACGGTTCGAAATTCGTCCGACTGGTCAGATGTGTGACTGCAAGCATCATACCGGTCGTGAAGACGCATACTTGCAGACTTCAATCGGCTGGAAGTCTCCGATACTACCTCTAGTTTGACTCTGGCTTATATCGTGTCTATCGGCGAGCCGTGTGAGATCGCTCGCAGGCTTATCCAAGATTCTTACAGATACAGATGGCTTATCCCCGACCGTCTGAACTGGTCTGCTCTTCCACTTTTTACCCCAAGAGGATATTGCAAACAATAGGTTGAAGTTTTTTCACAATATGTTTCACCGATGGGTACTTTACAGCCTGAAAATGTACGATAAGATCTGCTAGTTCAATTTGAAATGTGAAAACTTAGATTTTTCGGAAAATTACTGGTGGGCCAAATCTTTGAGGCTGGTGGGCCATTTCGGGTCACTGGTGGGCCATTTGGCCCACCAGTTAACATGTTAGCCGAGGCCCTGCTGGTCGATGAGCCACTGAACGATGACTCAGCTGAATACAAAGGAAGATTTTAAGCATGAATTTTGCTGAATTAATTACGGGCATATCACAGTTAAATGGCCACAACATTTGTTTTTGTTTCGATGGGTTAGCCCCTTCCGGTCTGACAAGGCCATTTCAGAGCCGGAAGGATGATAGGAATAAGGGGGAGACATTGGTCTGGGCAGACACCCTAGAGAGTCGCAGGGACTGAGCCTATCCCGAAGTTCAAGCCCCCCTCCCCCCCCCCCCCCAAGTACTCGCTACACCCGGCCACAGGTGCGCTCCCTCGGGGGCAGCGGTGCCGCTCCAAGGGAGCAAGCAGCCCGCATGAGATAAAGGTGCCTGGAAGCATGCTTTAACATGCTTCCAGGTTGAATTCAAATGAGGGCAGGCGGCCAACCACACATAAAGTGATTCATATGAACGATAAATATAACGCAAATAGTGTATAATCGTGAGCTCCCTACTTTCTTTTAGTGGTTTTCTGATGGAGAGTCAGACGTCAATGACGTCAGACAGCCTGACAAATGACCAAACATCTGACTGGAATCACAGGTCAGGTAGGCTAACTTTCAGCTATCCAGCACAAACGTATTCCGAGCAATCGGAAAACGGTTTCAAGAGGTGGCACGAACCCCGTACCTTGGACGGCGAGGGCTAAGGAGGCTGTCCAGAGTCGGAGTCGGAGTCACGGAGAATCCACCGACTCGGCGGCGCTGGGCGGAGGGCCGTGACTCCGGTCTACACTGGAGGACGCCTGCAGCGTCGCTGGACCGAACTGTGAGCCGGTGCCTACGATGTGCTCGATGGTGCTGCCATCTAGCGGCGGAATGAACAGGTAAGCTGTGACCAGAGGGCGCCTCGGTCGGGTTACAGCGCTGATATAGCGATCCGACAGGCAGGACAGAGTAGAGGGAACATCAGGAATGCGATTGATCAATGACTGTAAAACGGTACACCCAGGTGAATATATACGGCCGAGCATGACAAATGACTCCAGATCAGAGAATAGGTCTCGATACAACATTACGGAAGAAAATGGCACTTGTGACTTCCACAGCGATAATCAAACCTCCGCTTCTATCCCCAACTTCTTACCTTTGCTAGCTTGGCCTTGTGGCGGGATCACCCTCTGGCAGGGCAGCGGCTGAAGGCCCCTCTCCGACTCTACCCGGCGCCACACCAGCACTCCACCACTGTGACGGAAGGCAGCACGGTTGGAGCGGTAGCACGCGGTTGGACGGGGCAACACAGAGGGGCTGAACGGACGGGCGCCTTGCTGAGGTCGTCCACACGGTAGCGGGTGCTGTAGTAGCGTCACTGAGACTAGTATCAGGTAGTCCAATCAGGTAGGTAGATTCAGGGCAGACATGTCCATGGATCCGAGTGATGGATCTATGATCTCAGTGGATCTCGAAGCAAAGTACAGGTTGGGATCTACATATGATCCCACCGAATCCGGTGTGAAAAATACATCTTGGATCTATGATTTCATATGATCTGACGATAAATTAAGAACATGGATCTATGATATGAGTGGATCCCATCATGCACCACATTTGAAACCATGTTGTAAAGGGTTCCTATGCCAATAAGTGACACAAAACTATGGAATAAATATGACGTGGTCGTGCAATTACAACCTTAACGGCCTACATCGGCGGCTCTGAAGGCCCGCTCATCGGCGCCTCCGGGGGCCCTATACCAGCGCATCTAACGGCCATTTACCGGTGACTCTGAGGGCCTCTTACCGGCATCTGAGGTTCCCTTGCCGGCCTATGAAGGGCCACTAGTAACTTTCAGGGCCCCATACATGCCTATGACGGCCCCTACCAGCATCTCTAAGCCTAAGACCCCCACAACGGCGCCTGTGTGGACTCCACACCAGCGCATTTGACGGCCTTTCACAGACACGTCTGAGGGACCAACATCGGCGACTCTGAGGGGCTCGCTCGCTTCGCTTCTTCATAAAAAAACCGTGCATTTTATGCACATTTCTCAGGCAAAATGATACTTTTATCTGCCAATTTTCCGCATTTTTTTCAGGGCTTAGACAGACAGACAGGCAGGCAGACAGTGAGACAGACAGACAGACAGAGGGGCCCGTCCGCAAGGGGGACCGGACCCACCGTGCCCAATCCCCCCCATCGAAATGTTCTGGATACGTCCCTGCCTGGGTTGACAGTGGCCCCCCAGGTAACCCGGGGCCCCTTCGAGAGCAGGTTGTCCCCTCCTGGACGAAATCCTGGGTACGTGCATGCTTGGGTGTCCCAAGAGAAACGACCTTCAGGGCCTTATCCGAAGTACTGGTCCAGACTTAAATAAAGTCATTACATCATTAAGTCATTAAATAAAGTCAACTACTTCAAACTACCTTAAATTTGCCGTTTGATGGCCCTCAGAAGTCAGAGGCCGGCGTAGGGCCCTCATAGGCCGTCTCAGGGCCCTCAGAGGCTGAGACCGAGCCCCAGAGGCTAGCGTGGGGGCCCTCAGAGGCCGCTTCGGCGGTCCTACAGAAGCTTAGACTTGGGCGTGGGACCCTTTGACGCTGGCGTGGAAGTTGGACCCCTAAGGAGCCAGCGTGTAGCCCTCTAAGGCCAGCCGTGGAGCCCTATAAGGCCAGCGTGGGGCCCTCTAAGTCCATTAAGGGGCTTTCTAAGGACAGTGTGGGGCCTTCTAAGGCCAGTGTGGGACCCTCATGTTCAGTATGGGGCTGTCTAGTGTCTATGTCCAGCTTGGGGTCCTCTAAACCCAGCGGCGTGGGGCCTTCTGTAGTCAGTTTGGGACCCACTGGCCACTGAGACCAGCTTGGGGCCCTCTGAAGACAATGTGGAGCCCTCTGAGGCCAGTGTGAGGCCCTCTGTGACCAGCGTGAACCCTGTGAGGCAAGCGTGGGGCCAGCTGTCATCTGACTTCAGACGCTGCACAGTGGGCCGATATGCCATTCTAGCGCGACAGGGCCTGAATCCTCGAACGGAACCCTTGGTTTTTCGCGAGTAATTCGCGTAAAAAGCGGCCGATCGCAACGAAACTTTCAGTACCTTCGCGATAACTACTTTTACAGCTAACCTGAAAATTTCATGACCCTGACCTTAATGATCTTTGACCTGTGACCTGCTTTCGAGACCATGTTTGGCCGGAGTCGCGATTCAGCGTATATCGGCTCGCATTAGCCGCGGGTTTGCAGTCTTTTCTTGGTTTAAGGCGTTCAAACATGGGATATTATGTTGCTCCCATGCATTAGGGTGGATGTCAAGGTCACCAGAAGGTCAGGTAAGGTCATTGACCCTTGATGACCTTGGTTCACTTTTTCGAGTTTTACATGTTTCTAGGCTAGTTTTTGGAGCTGAATTCGAATCTAGCAACCATTTGAACATTTACTCTTTGGTGCCTTCGTAACATGTTACAAAGCTGTCAGAGGCGGTTGCCACCTACTGCAAATACCCGGCAAAACCCTTACTGGTTGACCTGACCTGACCTGACCCGACCTGGCCTAAATGTATGAAGACATCATCTATGATCGTAAATAACATTATATTCGTGATCAGCACCCAAAAAGCCTATAGCAGCCACCCTTTACGACGTTCTAACAGGTCCCGATTTTCCCGACTTTTGAGTCATTGACCTGACCTGGAAGGTCAACCGATGACCTAGGACCTTACAATTGGGTATCATCAGCTTCCTCTTGTCACGGGCAACACGCTCGTCTTTTCCGCGAAGCTCTAGCTCAATCAGGGGCGAAACGGCGGGGGGTCCAACGGACCCCTTCCATACGTTCGCGGCTGGAAAAACACCACTAGGGGCGAGGGTTAAGCCAAATCTGAGGGCTTATTTCAGAAAGACCGCTAAAAGAGCAATTGAATGCACTTTTCCGCGACGATGTAGCTCTATTGGTCCCCGAGGTAAGGGCCGGTTTTAGAGAAATGTTGATATATGCAACATTTTACCTTTGATGACCTCTGGTGACGTGACCTTTGACCTGACCTAGAAATGACTAATTACTCCTTCTGGAATTTCTGGCGCTCTTACGAATGCCACTTAATACGTGTCGCTATGTGGCCCAAGAGCCGAGTTAGAATGGGAGTGTTCAATCAACACCTCCCGGCCCGGCGCGTTTGATGCCGAGCACCGGTCCGGCGCGGGTTGATGTTTGGCTGCTACATCCAAAGTCGCAAAAAGTCGCAAAAAATGACTGTTGGATCTTGTAGTGCAATGAATCATTGACATGTAGCGAAATTTTCGAAGCGGTACTCTGCGGTACTTTTTTTAAAAGTCTATTTGTGTGTGACATCAATTACGTGAAATTATATTTTCGTCTTTAAATCTTTGCGGTGCCAATACATCATTATTAAGTAAGAGTTCGCCATTTTCATGTGGTTATGTGTGTTCTGCACACCCGGAGCTATCGTTTGATATATATAAATGTGGAATTCCTCCTCAAATTGTGATTGTTTTCGTGGATCAAAGATACGTTGTCGAAGAGTGCGGGGACGAGTTCGGTCCAAACGATTCCGAAGTTCGTGTTTAAGCTGAGTTTTCGCCATGAAATAGCAATTGTGTTGGAAAACAAAGACCACAGCAATGTAGTATGGTCATTTTTGAGCAAATTGGTATGGGCTGGCACATCCACAAAGTTCGATTTTTTACCCATGTCGTGCTAGACCTGGCGATCGGCCCAGTGTGCGCTGGTGCTGGGCCCTCAGAAGCCAGCACGGGGTCTTCATAGGCTGGCGTCGGGCCATTAGAGGCCACTTTGAGGGCCTCGGCAGCCATACTTCATATCTTATGCATGTTTGAGCCCCTTGAGGTATGAGTGGCCCTTAGAAGCCGGCGCGGAACCCTCAGAGGGCAGCATGGGCTTCTAGAGACCGGCGTGGGTTCGAGAGCGGCATAGGGCCATCAGACTGACTCAAAGGCTCCAAAGAGCCAGCGTGGGGCCCTGCGAGGTCAGCATGGGTCTCCTGAGGCCATTATAGGGCCGGCTGAGGCCAGAGTCGTTCACTCTGTCGCCGAAGAGAGGCTTTCAGAGGCCAAAATGAGCCTTCAGAGTTTTTAGATTGCCAAGTGTGCCTAAAAGGGCTCCCTCACATAGCAAAAGTGGCAAAAAACCGCACCTGTGCGTGGTTTAAGTATGCTACCACTGGGGCCCCTAAGGTAAGGGTGGGGCCCCTTGAGCAGGTTTGGCCTCCCCCTTTTCAAGATCCTGGATACGCCACTGCTCTTTGATATCAGTTTTTCTTCCGAGTAAAAGACGTTCTGTCTAGTACTGGAATTAAGGCAAGGAGACCCAGAACGCCTTCGTCACGCTGGTCCCCCTGAGTCATCCTTGGACCTCAGGCCCCCCCCCCCCTTGGGTACGTCACTGCACTCAAGTGATCCAAAGGGTTCACTTGCATGCGTGATCCCAAAGGGGGAGGCCATGGCCTCTTGGCCTCCCCCCTGGATACGCCACTGTAACTGCTCGCACTTTGTAGGTACTAGCTACTTTCATCTACTAAATATTTAGCTTCACTAGATATTTTGACGCTAGGGATTTTGTCATTAGCTGTTTTAACCCGCGCCCCGCTGGGCTATTCAGCCATACGCGCCCTGCTTGGGGGGGGGGGGGGGGGGCAGGTTCTGCCCCCTATCTGACTTGTGATCCGATGGTCGTAGAAAGACGGGGAAAACGGCAATCGAAAGCTCTCAACAAGATGGATCTTAAGAGCCAACTTTTTTTGCTTAAGTATTTCAGAGGTCAGGTCAAGGGTACAAAATGCAAGTTTCTACAGTATCGGCCTTGCACCGTAGTTGCCGAAGAATGAACTGAGACTGATTGCCCAAAACGTGTTCTTAAGCTACCAAGATAATATTCGTTGCAAACAATATCATGCAAAGGTCAAGGTCAAGATCAGGTCAGGTTACTAAGAACTAAATATAGAAAAGCGCATGTGCGCCACATGTTTTATGGGTCATTTTATTCATATAATTCAATAGGCACACTCAAAAAGTGATATCGTGAGTGATATGGGTCATGGTCCAATTGCCCCCCCCCCTCCCCTAGGATCCGCCAAAGTCGCGACCTAAGCTATGTGCATGAATAGCTCATCTGTGATTATAGCAAATGCCAATATCGAAATGAGGACTTCAAAAACAAAAGGCAGCACAACATCCCTAGAAAGTTTTAGCAGTTACAATGTTCCCGACATTTGGGTCGCCAGCCTAGCCCCGGAATGCCCAACCAATGAACTAGGACCTTCCAAACGTCACCATACTCGTACAATCGGGTACTATTTAGTCAGAGAGGGGACGCTAGTAATTTCCAGGAACCTCTAGCTCTATCAAAATCTGAACGGTGGGGGGGGGGGGAGTGTTCAATTTCATTGACTCTTCCTCTTTACGTTAACGGCCGGTAAAACACCTTAACTGGCGATAATTTAGCCATTTCTAAAAGTACAGGACGGTAACTACAGCATTGAAAAAAAAAAAACTACGGTAAATATGCCGTTAACATCAATAACGGCCGAACACCTTCAATTAAGGAGGGGGGGGGGAGGGCACTTCCGACTTTTGGTCCCATTCTTTCCATGCAACGCCCATAGGGCTAATGTTAAAATTCCCAAATCAAGGGGGAGGGGGTGGGCACGGTGCCCTCCCCGTTCCGCCGCCTATAGTTAACATGCATATTTGTTTTCGTTTCGTTGGGTTAGCCCCTTCCGTTCTGACAAGACCATTCTAGAGCCGGAAGGATGATAGGAACAAGGGGGAGACATTGGTCTGGGCAGGCACCCTAGAGAGTCACCGGGACTGAGCCTATCCCCAAGGTCAGGCCGACCAGCCCCCCTTCCCCCCCCAAGTACTCACTACACCCGGCGCCTTGCACCCGGCCACAGGTGCGCTCCCTCGGGGGCAGCGGTGCCGCTCCAAGGGAGCAAGCAGCCCGCATGAGATAAAGGTGCCTGGAAGCATGCTTTAACATGCTTCCAGGTTGAATGAGGGCAGGCGGCCAACCAGACATATAGTGATTCATATGAACGATAAATATAACTCAAATAGTGAATAATCGTGAGCTCCCTACTTTCTTTTAGTGGTTTTCTGGTGGAGAGTCAGATGTCAATGACGTCAGACAACCTGACACATGACCAAACATCTGACTGGAATCAAAGGTCGGGTAGGTCAAATTTCAGCTATCCAGCTCAAACGGATTCCGAGCAATCGGAAAACGGTTTCAAGAGGTGGCACGAAGCCCGTACCTTGGACGGCGAGGGCTAAGGAGGCTGTCCAGAGTCGGAGTCGGAGTCACGGAGAATCCACCGACTCCGCGGCGCTGGGCGGGGGGCCGTGACTCCGGTCTACACTGGAGGACGCCTGCAGCGTCGCTGGACCGAGCTGTGACCCGGTGCCTACGATGTGCTCGATGGTGCTGTTCTTCAACACCCCTTCAGAAATGAAAAAAATACAAACACGCACAAGAATAAATTATATTTTATTCTTGTGTGTGCTTGTATTGCTTCCATTTCTAAAGGGGGGTTGAAGAATTCTCTCAACGAAACGTGTCCACCCGAATATGTTGTGTCCGTCTCAATACTTGTCTCTTAACCCGCGCCCCGTAGGGGGGGGGGGCGTTTCGGCCCCCCCCTGTCCTTTTCCGTCGATATCTTCTAAACGGCTGGAGATATCACCACCAAACTTTCAGGACCCCTCCGGGCATCTATTTTACACATTGTGACCAAAAATTTTCAGAGGCTATGATAGGTTGGCCACAAATGACGTCAGAATGACGTCATGTTCTGCCATTTTCGACCCAAAAGACCTTCGCGAGAAGAGCTGTCAGGCCTACAGCTTTGAAGGCACAGAAAAATGATCGAGACATAAAAATTGTAGAATTGACAGGGCTACAAAACTATTATCTCGGATTTTTGAAATTTTTGAGTTTTGACCCCCAAAAATCAAAAATGCAATTTTTTGACATATTAGCCAAAAAATCCAAAGAAAATTTGAGTTCCAAAAAGCGGAATATATGTGATAGTACCTACCGTCTTCTATCTACATACCAAATTTCAGATCGATATCTCCTTTTTTGGCCAAGTTATAGCGAAAAAAAAAACTTCAAAAAAGACGTCAAATTTTCAAACTCAATTTTTGGCAAATCTAGACCACGTAGGGCAAAACAAAGACCACCATTGGACTCCCCGTGACGAGCTGCATCGAATGGATACCCTTATGCAAAAATATCAACTTTGAAATTTGACCTAATTTGACCTGACCTTGATCTGACCTTCACCGGAACATAATCTAAACTGACCCCAAAGGCTGCCTGATCCACATAATCGCATTTGTCATGTAAAATGGACCATAAAACATGTATCACACGACACTTTCATATTGTGACCCCCTAGTGACCTGACCTCTGTGACCTGACCTGGTATCAGTGACCTCAGATAGCGAATTATGTGTTTGACGAACAAAGTACCATCGATGGTTTTCAATAACTTACCAATTTACTCGATTTCACAACACATTTCTTGAAATGCCTGTGAACGGTGAAAATCTGACATTTGACCTGACCTGTGACGTCATCGGTTTGACCTAGGTCAATGAAATTTGGTCACAAGGTAGTTCTCCGGTGGGGCTATCAAACGCCGCTTGAATTTTGAAAATCGGCCGGTAAATTTCCGAGGTCTCAGGGGGGCCGAAACACCCCCCCCCCTACGGGTGGTAGGGTCCGCCGGTAGCCCTACGGGGCGCGGGTTAACCCCTAGTATTAGTGTTTTTCCAGCCGCGAACGTATAAAGGGGGGGGGGGGGGTCCGTTGGACCCCCCCTGCCGTTTCGCCCCTGATCGAGCTAGAGCTTCGCGGAAAAAACGAGCTTGTTGCCCGTGACGAGAGGAAGCCAAAGATATCCAATTTTAAGGTCCTAGGCCATTAGTTGACCTTCCAGGTCAGGTCAATGACCCAAAAGTCTGGAAAATCGGGACCTGTTAGAATGTCGTAAAGTGTGGCTGCTATGGGGTTTTTCGGGGTGCTGATCACGAATCTCATGTTAGTTTTTATCACAGATGATGTCTTCATGCATTTAGGCCAGGTCGGGTCAGGTCAGGTCGGGTCAACCAGTAGGGGTCCTACCGGGTATTCGTAGTAGGTGTCAACCGCCTCTGACAGCTTCGTAACATGTTACGAAGTCACCAAAACTACTTCGTTAACGTTCATATGGTTGTTAAATTCGAATTCAGCTTAAAAAACTGGCCTAGAAACATGTAAAACTCGAAAAAGTGAACCGAGGTCATCAAAGGTCAATGACCTGACCTTCAGGTGACCTTGACACCCAGCCTAATGCATGGGACCAAATTCATTGGTGGACATCTGAACGGTGGGGGGGGGGGGGAGGAGTGTTCATTGACTCTTCCTCTTTACGTTAACGGCCGGTAAAACACCTAAACTGGCGATAATTTAGCCATTTCTAATAGTAAAGGACGGTAACTACTAACTAGAGCATTGAAAAAACTACGGTAAACGTGCCGTTAACATCAATAGCGGCGGAACACCTTCATTGAGGGGGGGGGGGGGCACTGCCGACTTTTGGTCCCATTCTTTCCATGCAACGCCCATAATGTTTATGTTGTGGGCCATAATGGGCTAATGTTAAAATTCCCAAATCAAGGGGGAGGGGTGGGCATGGTGCCCCTCCCGTTCCGTCGCCTGTAGTTAACATGCATATTTGTTGTTACTGAAACCCTGCACACAGTATTGCGTCGGGTGTGGACAACTACCGCCATCTATTGACGGCGATACAAGTTCGGTTATTGCGGGACAGCCTAACTTCAGGCGCTCGTCACCTGCGCCATCTATGGAGAAGTCTACGAAACAGAAGTACGCCTTACCTCATTTATGCGTTAGAGCTGAATCTCTTTTTGGTCTTATCCCAATTTCCCAGTGCTTTCCAGGACAGCTAATTTTCGGACACCTATCCGTGCTTCTATCCTCAGGATACTGAAATCCTTCTCCTCCAAGCCGCAACCCCTCTCCGGGCTGGACAGGCAACTTTATCTCATGCGGGCTGCTCCCTTGGAGCGGCACCGCTGCTCCTGAGGGAGCGCACCCCGTAGCCGGGTGCAGTGAGTGCCTTGGGGCTGGGTGGCCTGTCCTCTGGACGGGCTCAGCACCGGCGACTCACTAGGGTGCATGCCCAGACCAATGTCTCCCCCTAATTCCTATCATCCTTCCGGCTCTGCAATGGTCTTGTCGACCGAAAGGGCCTAACCCAACAAAAACAAACAAACAATTTTCGGATCTGCGATAAAACGATAAGAAAGGTTTGCGATAACGATAAACGATAAACGATAATTTTTTTCTTTTTCAAAAAATTAAAATTAATAGCGATAAAACGATAACGATGATTGTGTGTTTTTTTAACAGCAACCCGGTTTACATTGACTTTGTTGCAAGCTTATATCTCCGTCCGTGATGTTGCAAAAGATGCCAATGGTGCTTAACAATTTATAAAATGATCCCCTTTAAATATCTGTAGACCACTGCATCGAAATTATCGCCAAATTAACGAGCTAGAGCCTCGTCAAATATGCTATGTAAACCGGGTTAGCGTTAACGAAACGATAAACGATGAAACGATAACGATAATTGTTTTTTTTTAACAGCGATAACGAAACGATAAATGATACAACGATAACGATGATTGTCTTTAACAGTGATAACAAAAGCGATAAGAAATACAGCTTAAATAATTGTACTTACAATTTATTTGCAGATCTATACAGTTTGCAGATGGCAACAGGTTGCGCACACATACTGTCGCGCGGTCGATCGTCTTCCATTTTTTCACCGTCCCGTTTTACATTTTGTCGTTGATCGTTCATAATTTTTGTAACTTGCGTAAGTGGATGAGCGATAATTTTGAAAATTTAGCGATATACGATAACGATAACTGGTTTACTTAACAGCCATAATTATCGTTCATCGTTTATCGGTCATCCTATCGCATGCGGAAAGGACTGCAATTTCCTTACCGTTTTTGTATCACCTTCGACCAACTATTTGCTCTAGCCAATTGCTCTACGGGTTTTTCGAATTGGATGCAAATGCGATTTAAGTTTGCTTGTTTGTAATTGTTGTTGCGTGCTGATGTGTCACAAAAAGGCCGCCACCACTAGGTCAGCTGGATCAGCAGGGCGACAGCTGATCGGCACACGCGGCGTGGCGCAGTTTTGAGACCGAGCTGGTTCCTTTTTTGTCGACATTTTTGTGGCCAAATTGACGGGCAAGATTTGGTGAGTGACTGTATTGCACTGATGTCATGTTTAGTTACCCTCGTATGTCATGAATAGTCACTATCAGACTATCAGTCATGTAGAAACTTACTTTCTATGTGTTTTGTGAAGGTCAGGCATTGGATCTGATGGATGCTTGCCCCACCCAAACATGTCCGTGCATATATCAGATTTGGTAATTGCATGTTACTTTCACAGTAACCGATTGGCTGACGATATGTCAAGAGAACTGGTCGATGAGCCACTGAACGATGAGTCAGCTGAATACAAAGGAAGATTTTAAGCATGAATTTTGCTGATTCAATTACGGGCAAATCACAGTTAAGTGGCCACAACATTTGTTTTTGTTTCGTTGGGTTAGCCCCTTCCGGTCTGACAAGGCCATTTCAGAGCCGGAAGGACGATAGGAACAAGGGGGAGACATTGGTCTGAGCAGGCACCCAGAGTCACCGGGACTGAGCCTATCCCCAAGGTCGGGCCGACCAGCCCCCCCCCCCACCCCCCCCCCCCCCTAAGTACCCGCTACACCCGGCCACAGGTGCGCTCCCTCGGGGGCAGCAGTGCCGCTCCAAGGGAGCAAGCAGCCCGCATGAGATAAAGGTGCCTGGAAGCATGCTTTAACATGCTTCCAGGTTGAATTCAAATGAGGGCAGGCGGCCAACCACACATAAAGTGATTCATATGAACGACAAATATAACGCAAATAGTGAATAATCGTGAGCTCCCTACTTTCTTTTAGTGGTTTTCTGATGGAGAGCCAGACGTCAATGACGTCAGACAGCCTGACAAATGACCAAACATCTGACTGGAACCAAAGGTTAGGTAGGCCAAATTTCAGCTATCCAGCTCAAACGGATTCCGAGCAATCGGAAAACGGTTTCAAGAGGTCGCACGAACCCCGTACCTTGGACGGCGAGGGCGAAGGAGGCTGTCCAGAGTCGGAGTCGGAGTCACGGAGAATCCACCGACTCGGCGGCGCTGGGCGGAGGGCCGTGACTCCGGCCTACACTGGAGGACGCCTGCAGCGTCGCTGGACCGAGCTGTGAGCCGGTGCCTACCATGTGCTCGATGGTGCTGCCATCTAGCGGCGGAATGAACAGGTCAGCTGTGACCAGAGGGCGCCTCGGTCGGGTTACAGCGCTGATATAGCGATCCGACAGGCAGGACAGAGTAGAGGGAACATCAGGAATGCGACTGATCAATGTCTGTAAAACGGTACACCCAGGTGAACATATACGGCCGAGCATGACGAATGACTCCAGATCAGAGCATAGGTCTCGATACAACATTACGGAAGAAAATGGCACTTGTGACTTCCACAGCGATAATCAAACCTCCGCTTCTATCCCCAACTCCTTACCTTTGCTAGCTTGGCCTTGTGGTGGCGGGATCACCCTCTGGCAGGGCAGCGGCTGAAGGCACCTCTCCGACTCTACCCGGCGCCACACCAGCACTCCACCACTGTGACGGAAGGCAGCACGGTTGGAGCGGTAGCACGCGGTTGGACGGGGCAACACAGAGGGGCTGAACGGACGGGCGCCTTGCTGAGGTCGTCCACACGGTAGCGCGTGCTGTAGTAGCGTCACTGAGACTTGTATCATCAGAGGTAATATCAGAGGTGGTACATTACCTCCACAAAATTGAATGTCCAAAACTGACAAAAAATGAGGCTGAATTACTAGATAAAGATATAACGGTCGAAGAATTATGGGAAACGCTGAAAAAACTTCAAAATAATAGAAGTCCTGGCTCTGATGGATTTCCGTATGAATTTTACAAATTATTTTGGGGAGAAATAAAGTACTTTGTTTACAAATCGCTAAGATATGGATTATCTAAAGGATCTCTTTCAGTCAGTCAACGGGAAGGCCTAATTACTTTAGTTCCAAAACCATCAAAACCACGAAATTTAATTAGTAGTTGGCGTCCGATTACGCTCCTAAACTCAACGTACAAGATTCTCTCCGCAACCATAGCAAACCGCCTCAAACAAGTTCTAAATTCTATTATTCATGAGGATCAAGTGGCGTTCTTAAAGAAACGATTTATTGGTGAGAACACCCGAGTTGTATATGATGTATTATGGGAAAGCCAGAAAAACAATCAGGATGGCATGCTTTTGTCTGTAGACTTCAAGTCCGCTTTTGACGTAATGAGCTGGAAGTTCTTGGAATTATGTTTGTTAAAGTTTAACTTAAGTTTTACTTTTATCAAAATTTTCCAATGTCTGCACAAAGATAACATATCGCGCATAACTTACAATGGACACGCTTCAACGCGGCAGATAAATCTTGAAAGAGGTTGTCGACAGGGTGACCCAGTGTCATGCTACTTTTTTATCATAGGCGCTGAGATACTTGCAAATATAATAAGACATAGCAATATGATCAGAGGAATGAAAATACGTAATACAACAGTAAAAATAATTCAATATGCAGACGACACAACATTTTTCCTTGATGGATCTGAAGAAAGTTTGAGGAACGTTTTCAACGAGCTGGGCTGGTTCGCCAAATTCTCAGGTTTAAAGCCAAATGTAACAAAATGTCACGCAATGTGGATTTGAAAAAAGGCACTTGAAGAAAACATTATTTGCCCTGATATTGAATTACGATGGGTAACAAAACTGAAGTTACTCGGTATTGTTTTTAACCCGCTGTGCTCAAATATCACGGAAGAAAATATACAGCTAAAAAAAGACGCGATGTTAAGAATAATCAGAACATGGCAAAGCCGCAACCTAACACTGGTTGGAAAAATTGTCATAGTTAAATCTCTTTTGCTATCACAAATAACTCATATTCTTGCCTCCCTACCAAATCCTTGTCAAAAAACAATGAAGGAAATAAATAACATCTTATTTAACTTTGTGTGGGGCTCGCAAAGAAATCCGATAAAAAGAGCACGCCTTTGTCAAACAGTAAACGAAAACGGTCTTGGAATGATAGACATTGAATCGTTTGTGAATTCACTGAAAATCAAGTGGACAAAAAGGCACATTGCTGGAAACAAAGCTACGTGGCATGCGCTTGTACCAAATAAAATAAATGACGATTTTATTTGGAATTACGGTGTCGTGGAACTGAAAAAAACTTGAATATATCTTAAATCCTTTCTGGAAGGATGTTATAAACGCATGGATATTTTTTTCTATGAGGTTCTGCTCAGAAGACAGTCTTCTTTGCTACAATATTTTCAAGTCAGACCTAACAAAATTTAAAAAGAAGAGGTATGCAGGATGGGAAAGAAAGGGCGTTAAATTTATTGGGGATTTGTACGAAAATAATAGGCTGATGACATGGCACCAATTTAAAGAAAAGTTTAATATAAACTGTGTCCCATTAGAGTACCAAGGACTCTTGCAAAGTTTGCCTGCCCTCTTAAAAAAAACAACAGTCACCAGGATGGTACATGCAACCAGCGCTTCCAGCACGTGTTCAGTGCCTATTAAATAATAAAACATTTACGAGATATTTCACAAAAATTGCTGGAAGTGACACCAGAGCACACGAAGACATCGCTAGAATAGAAAGGAAATGGATTTCTGATGTTGGCAATTTTGAAAAGCTATCAGTTTATAATATCGAAAAAGGTGTAAACG